TTTTTTTTTTTTTTTTTTTTTTTTTTTTTTTTTTTGATTTTTCCGAGCATCGGTCAAGTTGCGCCTTGATGGTAAGAGTAAGGATTTACGAGATCGACAGATGCTATTTATCTGTATAAAAATATGAAATGCAAGAAATAAAGAAATGCTTTTACCGCGAACAATGAATTTCGCTACGAATTAGATATAATTTTATCGTCGGTTTTTCTTTCTTTTAATTCATCGACATTGTTAGACAGGTTTCTTTTATTTACTCAATACACTCGATATATTGAATTTGTCTGGGAATTTTATATCGAATGAAACACGCTTCCGTAATTTATTTTTTTAAAAATTGTAAATTTCGATTTTATTGTTTCTATTTTCAAGTAAGCGTAAGAAGGTTCGGTATTGTTTTATGTAATTACTACTAGTAACGAGCTTACGTGCAATGTAAATTAAAAAGGATTTTGAAGAACGAAATACGGAATTCACATTTATGCCTTATAACTTTCGTAAAAATTGCTAGATAAAAATTGTCATTCGTTTTTTTATTATTATTATTTTTTTTTTTTTTTTTTTTTTTTTTTTTTTTTTTTATTATTATCTTGGTTTATTATCTGATAACAATGTACATAAATTCAATAGAATAATATCAATACTGATTACTCACCTTATTCTATATGACGATGTTCAAATATAACATTAATATAATATTACCACAGTAATTGTAATTGATATGTGCGTATAGCGGCGGTTGAAAAATCTATTATATCCAACATCATCGTTATTGCAAGAGAAATTAAATGGCATTTATGACGAAAGGCAAAAAATTTTAATTTCAATTTATGTATTGTGCGAGAGAGCATCGCCATGATCGTATAAAATGTATGTAGCATATTAGAAATATTTCAAGCTGTACGTCTTCGGCTAACAACTTTAATGTGCTATTCAATTTCTTAAGAGAATTCTAGATTTTTTGAAATCTCCATTGTTTTGCTTTTGCCATTTCCAGGCCCAAAAATTGAGCGAGGAAGCACACACTATGGGTAGTCTACAATGTACGCGAGTATCCGCGGAATTGAAAACTGCTCGGTCGATAGTGAGGCTGACGGAAATTCAAGCGACACTACAGGAACAAAGGTTTAGTAATGTTTTATTAACTTATATATCTCCTCCTATTAATCCGAATAAATGAGGAATCGTTCACACGAAGCCGATGAAAATGTAAATTTTCTATTTTTCAGGATATTGTTTCTTCGTCAACAAATTCAGACGCTAGAGGAGCTGAAATCCCAAAATTCCTTTATGTCTGACGATTCTTAGTGTAAGAGACTTTATAAAAATAATGATAATTATATAATTACGAGCTATAATTAATTCATGCAAACAGAAAAAAAAAAATAAAACATACTTATTAATATTCTCATTAATATTGAATAATTAAGATTGTACCTAAATTATAGTATCATGAAATAGAAGTGATATACATAGTGAACGATTGTCGGGGCTATTGCTCAGAGAGGAGGCCAACCGAGTCTTACTGATAATTAGTGAATGCACCTCCCTGGGTTACACGGGACCTATTACAATCGCAAACACTCGTGATGAATGCAAACAAACAAAAAAAAAAAAAACATAGGGAAAATGCGAACGTACATATACACTAATATTTATACTCATGCATGCACAGACAAATACATAGAAACAGGTACACTGCCATGTATACACGCTCAAACTTGGATGGAAACAAGCATAACACAAGCCGCACCCATGTCTCACGTACATGTACACGAATACATTTGCGCGCGCAACACTCGCACCAAATGATTAGAGAGAGAGAGAGAGAGAGAGAGAGAGAGAGAGAGAGAGATAAAAAAAGTAAATAAATAAAATGGTGAAGTTAAATTTATCGATTTGATTTGTCATTATGTTTCAACGATCAATTGTATATTTGAAATGTTCACACATCTGTCTTGTATTACCTATGTTGTACGTGTCAGTGTTTCATATTCTCGTGCGACAAAGCGGCATTTTAAACTAGTTCGAACGGTTTTGTTGTAAATCTCGGAATAAAATTCATGTCACAAGTTTTAAAATGCGGTACTTTTACTTGAACATTGTTTTTTCCATAGTCAACTTCCTCGAATTCTATTACTTCGTGTACAGTGATGTTATCTTTGTACCGAGCTAATGAGAAAATCCTTTTATCATGTCTTTATATATTCATATTATTTTTACGGTGTTTTACCAAATATCTTACCAGGAATCGGTTATCAAATTTCCAAATTTTACTTTTGCATTACACTTATATATATATACATACATATATTATTGATTTTGTAAAAGAAATTTATAATATACATTTTTGTAAATATATATATATATATATATATATATATATATGTATGTATGTGATTTTGTGTGCGTGCGTGTGCGTATGCATATGTAATTTATTTATTCTATGAAATCTGTAAGAAAATCTTTACAAGAAGAATCATAGTTTTATTTTACCAATACTTTTCATTATTATTGGCATTAAATCACTTCTTTATATTAAATGCATTAAGTGTATTATGTAAATTATTTTAATATAAATAATTAATAGAATATTTGGTATAATTTAATTGTATCGGTAATAAAATTAAATGTGTTTGAAGGGTCTGGAGTGGAACGAGAAAATTCTCTTACCAAAAATCAGCCATCTTAGCCATTATTTTATTACAACGAACAGTTTTTTACATCATTAAATTACATATTAGCATATTCTTAGGGTATGATCCAAAGAATTTCAGCGCTATGCTCATCGATAAGCTCATTTTTACACTATATTACAAAAAGTTGCTAGTGTCGATCATAAAAACGGCAATAAGAAATAGAATAATCAAAGATAATATATATATATATATATATATATATATATATATATAAAGTGTTTGTGATTTGTCGCAGAGGACTACAAAATTCTTTGGTTCAGACCTTGGTATGCCTTGCTTAACATATTCAAGATCCAAGAAAAGAATAAAGAAATAATTCATTCAACAACGCAATGTAGCCTTTTTTTTAAGTATAACGTCTCGCATACACTATGTAGAGAATAATATAATTATTATTACTGTTGTAGAATAGAGGAGAATATCAAGGATGAATAATTACAATTACCGTTTAAATCAAACGGTTTAGCAACGTTGAGCATTTTTCATTCAGTCGTTTACATAAGATCAAATCGGACTTTTTATTCATATAATCAACAAAGAGAATGTGTAGTTTAAAAAGTGAATAAAATAATTTGAATGACTAATATAAAGAATGTCAACAATAATGTTAATTTAGTTTTATTTAGATAAAAGTATCCGGATACATAATCTGTACAAAACTTGAAGTATATATATATATATATGTGTGTGTGTGTGTGTGTGTGTGTGTGTGTGCGTGCGTGAGCGCGTGCGTGAGCGCGTGCGACGAATAACATAATACTTACATTTTATAATTGTATTAACTAATAACGCATTTATGCTAAAAGAATTTACTATCGACTTTATTAATTAATGTTCAGAAATTTATTTATAAATACATTTAATTGGAAAATTAGTAAACACATTAAAATGCAAATGTCGAATAAAAGTATTGAAAGAAACAATTAGAAAAAATGCTCAATGCTGTTTCGAAGTTAAAAGGGCTGGTGTGATCCTGGTCGTTTTTCTCATGTACATTTTATTTTCTATGTGAAAATTGTTGATCGAAATCGCTTATAGTTGCTGCCATAATTGTTGTGCCGTAACATCCTTGTCACACACCCCCTCGTCGTATATCGCTATACGATACCGTAAAGTTATACAATTATCGATTCTTTTATGTGGATTGAACGATTTTCACGCTCATACATACGTACATAAATTATACATGTGCACGGACATCCTTCTGAATTACTTTAAGCTATAAGAACGAAAAAGTAATGCATAAACGCAATTATCGACACGATCAACTTAAGTAAATATTACGTAGTCAAATTCCTCGAGCATAACCGGGAAGCATGTGCACAGTGAACATTCTCAATTCGTTTGCTTATTTATCATAATATCGTTTATCCTTTTAATATTATTTCAGTCAGTCATTGGAATTAATCGTTATAACATTTCTCGCCACTATTTTCCTTATATTCTCGTTTGTTTAAACATCTACTTCTTTAAACTTGCTTGCTCTATTCGGCTATGTTTTTTCACTCTCGCGCACGATTTTGATTGTTAGAAAAAATGTTCAATTCAAGGAGGACTAAGGTTATGCGATAAGGCCTCGGAATATTTTATTACCGGATCGAGCTTTTCACAAATAGTTTTGTCTTTTAAAAACGCATTTTGAATGTTTTCTGGTAAAAAAAATTTTGATAACACGTTTCTTCTTCTTCTTCTTCTTCATATCGTCCTACCATTTGAGTATTTAAAAGCCTATTTGTAGTAGAAATTTACTAAAGTCACAAATGTATTTTCAATTACAATAGAATTTTAAGGCAATACTTGAAAATTATGAAAGTAGCGTTGTTTTGTAAGGAATAATGAAAAAAGAGAAAAATTGTAGAAAAAATTTACGCAAATAATTAAAAAGCCTTGTGATTTAAAATGAATAAATTTTCTTATAAACCGTTGCCAATTGACTGTCCTTAATAATAATAAATTGAAGTATTTGGAAAATACCAACAACTTTCAAGTTTGTACTAATTCTATAAAATTAATAAAACATAATGTAAATTTATAATAATATTAAAGTAAAATCTTACAAAAGTATTGGTGGTAGTACATTCTATTCAATTAAGTTGCTACTTTTATTGTACAATCCATGGATTCTCAAAAAAGTATTGTATTTTCATTAAATATGTTATAGAAAAAAATGTTTAACAAGAAAGAAAAATTCTCGCCATGTTTAAATTTACTTTTAAGGCCTATACAAACATATTTAAATTTTCTCTATTTTTAAAGCTGGAATTGAATTTTTGTTGTTGTTGTTGTTGTTGAGAAATCGTCTACCAGTTTTTTTTTATTGATTAGGCGAGATACACAGCCAAGACAGAGAATGTTCACGGTTTCTTTTCTGTACCTTTATGTACCTAAGAATTATGTACCTATAAGAAGAACAGTAGTTAGCAGAGTCGACATAGTTCGAGTTTAATCTTATTACATTCGTTTTTTAATATCTACGTTGAGCAGAGTATCATTAACATTTTGTAGACTCAATTTATTTGAATTATTATTATCATTATTATTATTAATATTTTTATTATTTCTTAGTTGTAATATATCAAATAGATTTCTCTTGCTCAAAGATACGCAAAGTGGATAAGAAGAAGTTCGTAGAACAAGAGTTGAATTATTACTTTTAATATTTTAACGTAATGCATCGTGCCATTATTTACAGTGAAATTTCTAAAATGATTTACGGTTTTTTTTTTTTATAATATAATTAACAGGATATATTGATTTATTTCAAATTGATATTTAAGTGTGAAAATTATATCGACATTTCGAATAATGCTACATAATTTTACTGTACAAAGTTAATCAATTTATTTGTTATGTAAATATGAACATTTTAAAAATAAGTTACGTACACTTCACGCAGTATATTATGTATTATATCACTGCATATATTCTACGTCTGATGCTGTACTAGCATTTTGTGCAAGAGAAATTATCATGAATAAAATAATAAATAATAATAACAGATTAATAGTATTATTTCTATTTATTCAAAACAAATTAATTTAATAATGAAATCCTTAGCTCGTTTTGTCACTTCTTTTTTTTTCTTTCTCCATTATTATAATCCTTGATGTTTCCTATTTTATTCATATATAAAAACAATTTGCAAATTTTTTCCCAAGAATACTCCTTACCGTATAAACTATATAATAATTAAAATTGATTTTCCTACTTTGAAAGGAAAAGCAAAATTTACGAATGCAACTCAGTTAGTTGACACTGTCATTTAATTGAAATTTTTAAGCTACAATTATTAAAGATACACATTGGAAATTTCATTTAAAATTCATTTTTTAAAGTTAATTGCACCTAACTGAAACTGGACATTTGATATAACTTTAGGAATTCTTTAAAGAATTCTTTTATTTTAAATTTTCATCGATTAAATTAAACTATTTTTGAAATTTTTTTTTTTTTGAAATTATCTATAGTTAATTATATTTTTAATACAATTCTCATTACTAATAATGTTTTCGTCTTTAAGTATTGTAAGAATATTCGTTCTTATTGTATTTTGTTAGAACTTGTATAAAAAAAAAAAAAAACCAAAAAACAAAGTGACATAAATAATTGATTCATCAGAATAAGAATCCTTTTATGTATCTGCATACATTTTTAGTCTTCCAATTAATTTCAACCACATAAATAACTTCAAAAACCATTTTGAAGCACGTTCAATATTACAATAAACTCAAAATCTACTAAACATTATTCAGTTTCTATTATAAATATATGTATAAAAAGAAAAAAGAAAAAAGAAGGAAAAAAAAAAAAAGGTAAATGCATACATCTTTAATGCTAAGTTCGATTTACTCTCTTATCGAATACACCACAAGTCCATCGACGAGTAAGCATTAAAGACAGGTGTTTTTTTTTTTCGTTTTTTTTTGTTGTTGTTGTTGTTGAAATCCTTGACAAACATACAACGTTAATGATAATCGACTCGTTTATATATTCTAAATTTTACAATTACGCGATGATTACGTCGTTCGTGCGTGTTCTTTTTCTCTCATTCGCTCACATAGATTTGAGTAATTATGCTTTGTGTACAATGGCACGCTCTTTGCAGTTTACAATAATTAACATTACGACGAAAAAGAAATTGGTTCATAGTTTTCTTTGTATATTATATACTTACGCAGATCGTGACGGGCCGAATTATCATTCTTTTAAATTATTAAATTGACTTTCACTCAATGTGCTTACATAGTGTGGAGCTATATTATTAAAAAAAAATTATACTATGAAGAATGGTGCACAGAATTTGATTACACCCACGTATACATCTGCATAAGTAGTTATACATAAGCATATATAAACGAAATATATGATAACGGTACAATTAACGAATCATTTATATTGTTTGTATCGTTTGCATAGTTGTTTTCTACATGAGATCTTGTAAATTTCATTTCCTTTTGTCAATTATTATAAATTTTTCTTACGATGAAAATGATAATTACAGAAAGTTCTTCCATTCAAAATCCATTCAAAGCACCGCTAATGTTTTTGAAATTGAGAAAATAATTTGTTAATTCAGGAGGATATGTTATTAAAAATTTTTACACGGTCTAACCAATAAATACATACAATAAAAAATGAAATAAAAAGAAATAAAACCAATCGCCCCTTATTCTAAATCTTCAAGCGAACAAAAATGTATTCAAGGTATTTGAAACGTTATAATCATTAAATTTAATGAATTTAGTCTATCGCAAGGATTATTTTCAACTAAAAGTTTCAGCGCTTATCATTTGTTTGAAAAGTTATTTATTACAATTTTAAACAGAGCGCATCATTTATATATATATATAAAATAACGACGATCTACCTGAAAGACGATTCTTATAGATCATCATTTTTACTTATATACGCATTGAACAATTAATGATCAGCTAAATATTAGCCGCATGTTGAAACTGCCATTGCACATTAGCTAACTACTTGCCGTCCTTCTTGGGACTTCTAAAAACGCCTGTGCGCTCTTTAATGTAATTATAATGATAATGATAATGATAATAATAATAATAATAATAATAATATTAATAATAATAATAATAATAAAAATAAAAAATCACGTTTTTTATTTTACTTCAGTGGTCAAGTTTGCTTTAAGCATGAAGTACAGAAAAATGAAAGCACAATTCTTCATTGTATGCAGGTTTATTTAATAACAAACAAAAGCAATAATAACTGTACATTTTTTAGAAGTCCCACTGAAAACAATCGTTAAAGGGCCATTTTTCGTTTTTATTTTTATTCATCACCCACATCCTGATAATAAAACACTTAACACTATCTACGAATTTTGTTGATATTTTTTTTTTTTATATATATATATTTTTTTTTTTTTTAAATAGTATTTATAATATATATGCGTATATAACATATATATATATATATATATATAAACCTAACAAAATGGCATTCAGTTAATTCTTATAAGTTTATCTTCATTCTGGCGTTTAGTATAAAAAAAATATACAATTTGATTACATACTGGAAATATATCCGTAACCGTGACTTTGTACTCGTCCGAATGCCATTTTTGCCCTCACATTTGCTTACTCTTTTTTTTTATTTTTTTTTATTTATTCATTTATTTTAGTTTCTATATTACAGGTTTGTTTGTTGAGAGTACTACGATAAATGACGCTCGTAGTGCTATCAAACAGAATCCTATCTAAAATATAATGTTAGAACTTTTTGTTTCATATACTTTAAAGAAGACTAAGCGTAGTGGGATAAATTCTCGCTGATATATATATATATATATAACTGTAATCGCAATGAACGCCGTAATTCGCAACATTGAACGAAAAAAGATTCCTCGTTTCTTTGCAATGTTTCGAGATGAAAATACATATTATCATTATTATTTATTTTTAAACAGTAAAAAACAATCTTATAATGCAAAAGCTCGAACCTGCGAATCTTTTTTCGCAAGTCTATGCGAGGCGTTTTCATATTTTCCCTCTTTCTTTTCGTCCCCCACCCCATTCTATCATTTACTCTCTTGCTTATGTCTGTTTTGTATTTTATTTATTTTTTTCGTATCTTTCCATTACCAATCACAATTAAAAAAAAGGTCCGATAAAAAAAAAAAAAAAAAAAAAAAAAAAAAAAAACCAAACAAACAAAAAACGCAGAATGTTACCGCGATCACAGATTAGTCATAGTCAAGCATATTCAAAGAGACAAAAGATGGAGATAATAATATTATTTACTAATAAATTGTTTTCATTCGAGTTTTTTTTTTTTTTTTTTTTTTTTTTTTTTTTTTTTTAAAACTCTGTATTAAGTCAGGAACGTCGTCGCGAACATCATTCATTATTCTTTCACTAAATACTTACCTGAGACCAGACTTTTTTCGGTGGTAGTCCAGCAGTTTAATTATTATTTTGCAATTGCTTTACATATCCCAAGCTTATTACTTTTCCTTTCGTTTACTTCTTATGCATATTACTTTTAATGCAATTAATTAAATAAAATAATTTACAAATTACAGATTCGCCCAACTCTGCCCAATCCTGCACAAAAATTCATCTCTTGATGACGAAGACACATTCACTGTAATCTTTCCTTTTGTCGGGCACATTTTTACATCGAACGAGCCATTTACACAAAAAAAGAAGAGCGTAATATTTGATTCTAATTTCACTGCACTGACACGTTTCTATTCGCTGATAATTATCACTTTTATGTGAATAATGCCATTCGCCTAAAACTTATTGTGAATTTGACCTACTGCCTGGGCATTCTTCTGACTGCCTTTTTGATTTTTCTTGCGGGCGGTGCACTGTCGAGGAAAATAACATGCCACTTAATACAATTCATGATTAATTATAGAATATTTTGTCTGTCTTTTAAATATTAACAACCGTACGTAACGTTTATTATACATGTGTTTATGCAACAGAACTTAATATTCGATCAGACCTCACTATACGATTGTGAAATAAATAAATCAATGTTTTACATTCGATTCATATATAATACATTTAGAAAAACTGAATATGCTTACGAATCCATGATAATATCAACAAGTATTAACATTTACCAATTTTGTCTCACGTAATACAATATAATCGACTGAATATTTTATTGGTATGCATATTTTTCTCTTTTAAATTCTCAATATTATCGATTTTTTTAAAATAAATTCATTCTAAATAATACAACACATTGCATCTCCATCATAAACGTAGTAAGTAACTATCATAATTATATGGATAAAGAATATAAGGTGATTCTTACGTGAATACCGTAGGTGCACTGCCAGCAGTGAAATTAAACGTTGGTTGGACATTGGGATCGAAAGCAACAGGAGTACTTGAATTGCTGGGTGCATTGAAGTTGAAGCCACTAGAAACTGGTGCTGGAGACTGTAAACACACGCACAATAATTTTGTCAGTACGATAGTCTCAGTAATAAAAGCCTTACTGATAATTCCATGTTTTGATAACGATTCGCATTTTTATTTGCAAACTAATTACTCCAATTCTATTTTAAAAATGGTTTCGACAAATTATTTTTATAATCTCGTAACGCTTTCAGCACTTGATAAGTGGATCATAGTAGGTAATATCTTTTGCAGAATCGAGAATAATATCTCATCCGAACATCGCGATTGCCTGTGAATTTCAATTATGCTGCAGGACGAGCGTTTGAAAGACATTAATAATACACATATTAATGTGAAAATTGTTGAATACGAAGGGCTGCGTAGGACGAGCACGATTGCTCGACCTAGCGATATCCAAACAACGACAATGCAAGGACTTCATCGTTAAATGGTCCAACCGATAACCACGGGCGCGTACTCAAATTGTTCTTATAAACTACTACCAGTCCATTGATAATTCGAAAGTTAGCTGTCACTTACAGCGCCGAAGTTGAAGTTGGTGGCGCCGAAGCTGAAGGGCGTGGCGGAATTGAGGGCCGGGTTGGCCGGGGCGGGGTACGTGGAACTCTGGGCGGTTGGGACCGCGTTGAATATCGGGGCGCTCGTCGTCTGGCCGAAGCCTGGGCTCGCGGACGCCGCTTCGGGCTTGGGCGTCGCGCTGAAGCTGAAGCTCGGTGTTGTGGCGCTAAAGTTGCCGGAGCTCCTGAAGCCATTACCCGCTTGGCCACTGCCCGACGACGCACCGAACGAGAAGATATTCTTCTGGTCGGAGGTGCTGCCACTGTTGGAGCTCGAGCCCGCCGAGAAGTTGAAGCTGCTCCCCTGCGACTGCGACTGAGGTTGCGACTGCGATTGAGTCTGCGACGACTGCCCAAAGCTGAACAAGTCTGGAAAACGAGACGGAACAAAGCTGCAGTGAGTATGAAAATTACATTGTTTGGACAATTGCGTGCACACAGTAGAGCGCGGGGAGGGGGGGGGGCAAAGTCGGGATAATTTTAGATAATACATAAAATAAATAATTGCTTTTTTCCCGTTGGAATCACGTTAGCAAAGCAAATCCTACGCGTTATTGGCTCAAAGATGATATTTCGTTATTATTCATTTGATATTTTTCTGGTTGGCTACCGCAAACAGCGCTTGATGTTTGGTTTCAAAGAGATGCTTGTGCTGCAGGTTCAGTAATTTATGAAAACCAATAAGGTATTAAATATCTTTATACGTATACAAATTGAATAATTATTTGTTTGCTTGTTTGTTCGTTTGTTTTTCATTTGGTATGGTAGGGGGGGGGGGGGGGGGGGGGGCAAAGTCGGGATAATTTTAGATAATACATAAAATAAATAATTGCTTTTTTCCCGTTGGAATCACGTTAGCAAAGCAAATCCTACGCGTTATTGGCTCAAAGATGATATTTCGTTATTATTCATTTGATATTTTTCTGGTTGGCTACCGCAAACAGCGCTTGATGTTTGGTTTCAAAGAGATGCTTGTGCTGCAGGTTCAGTAATTTATGAAAACCAATAAGGTATTAAATATCTTTATACGTATACAAATTGAATAATTATTTGTTTGCTTGTTTGTTCGTTTGTTTTTCATTTGGTATGGTAGAAGGTATTGGTAAGAGTGAGGGGGCGAGAGAGAGAGAGAGAGAGGGGGGGGGGGAGTCCTTTTACAGTTTAAGGGCAATGTTCAATCAATCGAGTAAGACTCACTTGGATTTACGGCTGGTGTTTCCGACGATTTCGTTGTGAAGATGTTCGTTGTCGCGTTTGCCCCGAAGCTCGGTGTGGCCGTAGCGCTTCCAAACACGTTCGACGGCGATCCGAAGCTCGTGCTGGGCGCTGCGAAGGCCGGAAGTTTCGACTCGGTTTCGCCAAAGGGCGGGGTGACCTTGTTTTCCGAGGCGCCGAACATCAGGGGCTTAGTGGTAGTTGCGCCCAAGTTACTCGTCGCCGTCGGAGATGTTGCATTTATGCTGCCGAATAACGACGAGATTGTTGAATTCCTGTAATAGAAATACAAAACGAACATCTTAATCGGTGGATGCTCCTGTCTTTGTACGTCAACTATACGTTATTAACTTTATTAACTTCCGTATCGTTAATCGTTATTAACTTATATCGTTAATTAGCAAACGCTAATTTTCCAAGATTAAAGTAAAAATGTTCAGAAACAATCCGGAACAATTGATTATTCTGTACGAGACCGCGTGCCATAATTGCCAGCAAATTACTAGAAGTTCATTGGTCTAATAACAAAACAAGCTTGCGCGCGCGCGCCAATAGCAATAATGAAATTGTGTCGTTGTATTATTTAATTTTATTGGATTTTAATTACGTTGGCCTAAGATTACCCGAAGATTACCATTCCCACTTTGAGGCTACGGGATTATTTATGATTCATGAGTGCGCCGCCTTTGTGTAACTCAACACGTGATAACTTGTCATGTCAATACGTGTGGCTCTTGAAGCAACCGTAACGCGCGTGACTCGAACCTTATCTCGTGATAAAAAGGTCGTCTTAATTTACAATTTAAAACTATAAATTGCACGCAATAATGGCTTGAATAAGGAAAGTTCGGGGAGAAATCGATTTTTTTCGAGTTTTTAGTTAAGACTCCATTTCATGCGCAAGTACGTTAAGACGAGTGCATAGGGAAATGTTTCAATGGGGCGCAATAAGGGGCTTGGCTAAGTAGTGGAATTGCACAGGGCATAGACGCAGAGGGGAAGTAGAACGAATATTGCGACGAAACTTACGCTTGGGCGGGGAAGCTTTGCGATGGCGATGGACCGACGAACGCCGCCATAGTGCTCGGCTTGTTGGTCGGTTGTTGTTGTAATGTGGTATTTGGGTTGTTCGTTGTTTCCGCGGCTTTGCCGAAACTGAAAGCGGGCTTGGGTGCGGTGGGTGAGCCAAATGTTGGCAATGGTGCACTGGTGGTGGGCTTCGACTGGTCACTGAACGAAAAGAGGGTCGAGGAGGCAGGAGGAGCAGCAGCGTCTGTCGTTGACGCACTCGTCGTGCCGAACGAGAAACTTGAAAGTGATTGAGGTTGCTGTTGCACTTGCTGCTGCTGCTGCTGATTGACGGGGTTGGCGAAGGTGACCGTTGGTTGCTCGGTCAGTGATGGCTGTGGCTTCTCTTCGAGTTTGGGCGGCTCCTCCTTGGCCGGGATCGCGACTGTCGTCGTCGGTTTGTTAAAGAGGAAGGCGCTTGGTGCGTGACTCTCACACGTTTTATTCGACTCGTCGCAGGTGCTCGTTGTATCTGCAATTGATAAGACCGTTTCTTTATGTTTTTTGTTCATTGTTAAGTTACAAAAATTCCCGTTATGATGCTCCGCTAATATTGCCGGACACGAACAAAGTAGACGTAAAATTTTTGCGAATAATCGAAGATTATTTTAAATGCTCCCATTGCCCGAATTCAATAATAGACGATAATTTACAATAATCAATAGATTCGATGTTGGTGGCTTGCACCATCACTGGTTAAATCGACTCGTGAATATACCAATAAGGCGCACACACACATACCTTTACTGAGGCTCGCTGATGGCGCGAAAAGGAAGCCAGTGGGAGCCGAGGGTTTGGCCTCGTTCTTATTTTCCTTGGCTTTATTCTCCGAAGGCGCACCGAACACGAATTGCCCACTGGGTACCGAGCTTTTCGAAGGTATTCCGAATGTAAAGTTACTCGCTACTGGAGTTTGCTGAGTTTCCTCTACCCTCTTGGACTCGGCAGGCTTCGAGCCGAACTGAAAGGTGGCTGTCGCAGCTACGGTCTCGCTGACCTTAGGGCTAAAGTTGGTAGCCTTGGGCACGTTTGCCGCTTCGGTTTTGGCGGCGCTAGGTATGCCGAAGCTGAAGTTCTTACTTTCGGCGATGGCGGTCTGGGGGGCGGAAGAGCTGCCCTGAAAGATGAAGCCATTCGTTTTGACTGCGGTGGTGGTGACGGTAGTGCTGGTGGTGTTTAGAGTGGTAGTAGCGGCGGCGGCGGCGGCGGCGGCGGCCTTATCAATGCCAAAGGTAAAGCTGGAGGCGTTCGCGGGCATGTCGACTTTAAACTGAAGATTGGATTTGCAGGGCGTTTCGGTACCAGGTTTCGCGCTCTCGCAGGCCGCGCACTTATCGGCCGTTGGCTTGTTCTGTAGCATGCAACTGCCGCACGTCCAGGAGCCCGTGGGCTTCTTGAACATGTCGCCAAAGCCGGATGGCTTGGTCGCGGCTCCTGCACGTGGTGTCTCGCAAGCCACGCATTTCTCGGTCTCGGTTTTGTTCTGAATCATGCATGTGTCGCACGACCAGGAGCCCTCGGGCTTCTTGAACTTGTCGCCGAATCCGGTCGCTACGGTAGTCGGTAGCTCCACGGCCTCGGACGCCCGCTTCGGGCTTACGTTCACGCTACCGGGCTTAGCGGTGTTGCAGCATGGGCACGTGGCCACGTTCTCGAGGTTTCGAACCATACAGCAGGGGCATTCCCAGGAGCTCTTTACGAGCTTGGGCATAATTGGCGCGACAGGAGACGTCGTCGTCGTCGTGGCAATCGCTGATGTAACTGTTGCCACCGCCGTCGTCGTCGCGGTCGCAGTTGACGTAGCGTTGCCGCTCGTCTTACTCGCTTGGTATGCTGTGTTCGCTGCGGAGAAGATCGTACTCGTTGCATTGAACGTGGTTGTGGTGCTAGCGGATGAGAAGGGCGAGTTTCCGAAGATTTTGTCAAGGGATGCCTGATTCGCGGGTTTAGCGTTGAATTTCTCCGATTCGTTATCTCGAGATGTCGAACTGCCTTTCGAGTCTGAAAGGGCGTGTATTTTTTAAAAATAAATTTACTCTGTTATTTAATCTTCGTTTGTTCAAATCAAGTATGTCTTTGATTTAAATACAAATGTTTGACACTCAATGAATATTTAAGGCAAAATGCACATATATAAAAATGATTTTATAATTAATTATTTAGTACTGTGAGTGCAAATTTTAATCTGAACAAACGTACGATGAGTTGATGAATGAATTTTTTTACAAAATAATTATTACTCAAAGCTCTTATTAGAAACCTTTTTTTTTTACATTTAAATTAATATTTCATGTATTATACCTCTTAATACTTTCACAGAATGTAAAAAATTAGAAATCATGTATAAGAAAATATCTCGTGCTATTCAGCAATGCCAATACTTAACCAATTAATTTTATCGTCCACAAAGTCTGAGCATCAAGCTGAATAATCTCTTTCCTTATTATTATTATATTATTATTAAGATTATAAATATTATTGTTAATAGTATGCATTGTGCGTCTCACCGTGTTTACTAGAGCCACCTTCCGCAATCTCAGCATTGTTGGAGGAGTTGATGGGCTTGGAGCTCTTACAAGCCATGCAGTACTTGTCGGATGCGTTATTCTTAATTAAGCACTCGTTACACTCCCAAGTGTTCAAAGAGTCACTCGACGTCGACGGTTTCTTCGCGAAGAAGTCCATGCAGCTGCCGGTCTTCAATTCGCTCGCCACATTAGGGCCTCCCGACTCCACCACCTTTTCCTTATCCTTTTCCTTTTCTTTCATTTTGAGCGTCTGGGAAGGTCCGGCCCATATGAAATTCGTGAACGAGGACGAACAGCTCAGCGTATCGTTGGAGTCGACACTGAGGGTCTTGGAGAGGTCGTAAGATTCGTTCATTGTCAAGGTGGGTATCATTTTGCTCGGTGTGATGGGCTTGCTGAACGTGAAATTGTTAATGGACTCAAGATTCTTGGCACTATCGGCTAGCCTGATCGGACTGGCGAATTTGTAGTTGTCCTTGTCAAACACGGACGACTGCTGCTGCTGCTGCTTATTTGGACTGGCCGGCTTCGTCGGTTTTGTGCATTGGGGCAGGGATATGTCAAAGCGAGGGAGACTGGAAATTGGTAAGGGCATGGTAGGCAAGTTGACCGATTCAACGGTCTCTTGCTTCTCTAGATTCATCTTCTTCTTGGCCTTTAATTGCGTATTACGCTTTGGCTCAACGTCAGCTTCGGTTCTGCATAAAGAATCACATCTCTCAATCGATACTGTTTATACAATGTGTGCTTTATTATATGAAATCGTTGAATCGATGAACAAGCATTATTTATTGGCGCTGTTTATATTCACGAGTATTGAAATAAAGATAAATTATGAAATGAAATCATTAATGGTTTACCATCGGTGACAAAGTTTTATACAAGCATACAAATATTTGCACAATTTCATACACTGGACGTAAGTTATAAAATGAAAATGAAGAGATAAAGGAAATTTATAAGATTACGACTCGAATTCGAAAAAGGAAATGAAAAATTTTTTATTATGTTTTATTAATTATATATGGAAAAGCTTTTACCCCCTTAACTCACAATTAACTTAAAGTTCTCGTGACATTGCAATAAAATTGAATTTATTGATAAACAATATTACATGGAATTGAAATTTTGCAGATGGATAAATATAATGGGAAGCAAGTTGTGGAATAAATTAAATTTCCAGCTTACCTTATATGATAGTCCTGGGGAATAGGTGCTGGTGTTGGTGCAGTTCTCGAGGTCATAATTTTCCTGGCATTGACGGTTGTGTTCTGGAGCTTTTGTCGTCTACGTATCCGTAAAAGATCCGGTACCGTGGGGACGGTTAATTCACGCGTCAAGTGCCTCAATCCCACTTTTGGCGATGGAGTTTCATTCTCTCGCAATCTTTTGTGGCTCAACGTCGGGGACGAGATTTGACTACTGCCGCCCATAATATTCCTAATGGGCATTTTTTTGGCATCCGACAGTGGTGAGGAGAACTGCTCGAGTGCCTCGAGGATACGTCGGGCCGTGTGGCTCATACCTGACAGATCATTTGTTGATGAACTGTTGGAAGGGTTTACTTCTACACTTGTGCGTTTCGGTATCTTCAGGTTATACTAGAAAGGAAATGTCAATAATTACTGTAACGAAATTGACTAATTAAAAGAAAATTCTAATTATCAATAAATGTTTTGATTCTTTAGGAGCTTAGAAAATCAATTAAGATCTCTCAAAGTAATTACATTTAATAAAATAGACTACTCAAAGACATTACAAACACAAATAATAGTTTTATTTCTGATTTGTGTTTACGTCTTATTTATTACGAATACTTATTGAGTGCATTTGCTTTTTCAATAAATGAACATTACAATATTAAACATTTTTTATTTTTAATTTAAGTAAAATATTTTACTTTAGAATACATTCTTAACGAAAGTAAAAATGTATATTACCATAATTTTATATTTCAAATTAAAATACTCACCAAGCGAAATACGTTATTAAATTTAATGTATTATTACCTATCATAATAATTTATTTTAATTGACTTAATTGAAATAGGAAATAGGATTAAAGACATATGAAAAGAATTCAAATCATTCATAAATTTAAATTATTAGCTATAACTATAAATTAATAAGCTTATAATATAATATTAAATTACATAAATAGCTGTTTGTTTTAATATCTATCCGACTCTTCTTGATTCACTTAATTTTTTTTTATTTTTTTTTTTTAGATATTACTGTGATCATTAGGAATAAAACAAACATATTCAATACATTGGATTACTTTGTATAACATCAAGCATTATACATAATTGCAAATAAACTACTGTCATTCAGATTCAAATAACATTAGATTAGCGATTAATTTAAGAAAATGTATAAATTAAATCATAAAATTGATTTAATTGTTATTTTTTTGGTACGCACCTGTGGAGGTTCAGATAGGACACTACTACTTCTTCTGTACAAATTTGCTGCATTCGCTCCTCCAAACATTGTATTACCAGGGTAGAAGGGTGACGATAAAGATGATGATCTTTCTAGGGAATTATTCATCATTAAAGCATTAAAGCTTGGTCGTCTACTACTTAATGTTTCTCTGGTAGTATTATCCAAAAAAAGTGATCGCGGAGATTGTAAATGATTTGCTAATAAACATAAATTAAAAAATCACATCATTTAAGGCTTATTTTGTAATAACGAAATCATGTCTCAATATTTACTGAAATTTAGCTTCTCATCGATGTATCTTCTTTTATTTCCATAAGGTGAACTATAATTTGCATTTGTTGGTGCTTCTTGTCTATTGTTTTGTGGAATTAAAGAACTACAACCACTTGTACTTTCACTTGATTCAGAATTGTCATCCATTCCATTAGCTGCACCATTATTACTATTCTGTTCTGACATTAACATATTTAGTGCTGATCGTGTATCTGGTAATTTATTTGTATCAGCTGAAAATGCTGGGGTGGACGATACAAAGCGTTGTAATCTCGGACTAGCTGTTGTAGGTTCTAAAAAATCTTGGGCCTAAAATCAAAATACTCTACATGAATGTATGTACGTAGGTATAGATATATACATATATATATATATATATATATATCTCTTCATATCTTATGTTTTATTATTATTATCGTCTGATAGACAATACGTCTTCAAACTTACGGTCTCATTATAGTTTGTGTAGTTTTCTTTCGGCTGTTCTGCTACTATATTATCTAAATTCCGACTTCTAGGCTTAATATTAAATGTACCAGGTGGGTGTGTAACATCTATGCGTATACATGGTCGTTTCACCGGAGGTGGATGCAAATGTTCTTCATCATAACCCTTATATTGTGTACTTTCTGCCTCTGTATCTTGTAATGTTGTTTCGTCTTGAGAACTGTTAAACCATTTGCTGATCCATGAAGGATGTGGTATTAGATCTGTCATCTTTGTCGCAACTTTTCTGACAAGTGACTAAAATATAAAATTACAAATTAGTTACTTTACAATAAATCTATTTGTCCATAAATATTTATGTTTTAAAAAATTATTCGTCAAATATTGAGAGTAATAACTAGTATTTTCACTACATTTTGTTTATAATTTGCAAAAGCTCTATCGCCAGAATACTATCGACAATAAAGAGACATAATTAATGCGTAATCAAATTTTTTATTCAGATAAAGTCACATACCCATTATAATGCTAGTTTAATCGAATGAATTGTATACTTTTTTCATTTAAATTTCAATTATTTGTGTTAGTTCAAAAGTATCGCGCAAGTTTAATAATAATAATTTCTAAGAATTAATTTTTTTTTACAAATATCTGAAAATTGGTGCAATTTACTTGTCAAGATCTTGAAAAGAATTATCTAATAAGGAACTGTTTTTCATTATCTCTTATCCGATTGAATAAAGAATAATTTTTATTATATTGTTATAGAATGATAATTCACAATTTATTATGTTTGTCAGGACAAAGTCGATTGGTTTTTACATATCCACCAATTTTTCTTTCAATAATTTCTGAAGAACTTGTATTGAATTAATTACTAAAATTCAGATTGGTCAAAAAAATTGTTAAATTATAAGTTTTCCTTGATAACGGCCTTATGTGAATATTAAATATAATTCCAGTGGACAAAATAATAGCAATAATATGTATAACATAATATAATTTATTTCTGTAAATCTACTTTTATTAATTTTTGCATTCTATGCTTGGACAATGCAATGTTTTATTATTATTTTTTATTTTTTTTAATTTCAATATGTAAATATCTAAACAGTGAATCCAATTGAAGATAAAAAAATGTACATTAAAAAATATCTAAAAATCTACTCTTTTAAAATTCTTTTACATAATTTATTTTAACGTTATTTAGCATAAAGAATTTGTTTTTCATTAGCCGTAGGTATTACAAAGTTCCTACGAAATTAATGTACCTCTAATTAGAACTCTTATTATATACCTATGCGACATTTATTTATAAATCATTACGAATTGCCCAAAAAGTTGGCTAACTAAAATTCTTCCTTTGACCAGTCAGTTCAAACAGTTTTTCTTCTAGATAGTACAATCAATGATACAGTACTACGCGTGCATACTATACGCAGGCACAAATACACATATGCATATGCATTATGCATGTAGTTACTTACGTGCGTACACATGTGTAAATTAGTAAGAGCACAGTATGAACGTACGTGTATACATGCGTAGTTACACGTATTCAATCGACAATTCTTCTCTTCTCTTTCTAAAGCACAAGCGCGCGGGCGCTTACTCGCACGTATGCCTGCAGCAACGAATTTTATACAAAATATATATATAAAATTTCGTGCCCCTTTCGTACCAGTTGCAGGTGCATGCATCATCTCATTCCAAAACCAAGCCCACATCCTTTTCTCAGCGACAATGCACATGACAAGGATAGAAGGTTGGAATTGCCGCGAGCCAAGAAGATTTTCATCAAGGTTAAATCGCGTTTCAGCCTTCCTTCTTTTATTAACGCACTCATTCGTCCTCTCTGGCTCTCTCTCTCTCTCTCTCTCTCTCTCTCGCTCTCTCGCTCTCTCTCGAACTCGGTGACGAGTCCGTACGGGGCGAAATTGAGGTTATACGCTGGTGCTATGCACACCTCGTGCCTTTCTCTCTTCTTTCCCTCTCTCTCTCTCGCTCTCTCCCACCTCGCGGTGACGAGTAACGCGCGGGAAATGCAGCGCTACGTCTCGCGGACGTATTGTCGCGCTAAAGGGTTGGAAGGGCTGGGAACAGGAGGCGAAGGGGCCAGGCAGCAACTATTTTTATCAACGGGGCGCGCGTTGATTGAAAGCATGGGAGGGCTGCAGACGATGTGGGTAGAGCGCGAGGGCGCACGGCTCTTCGTGGTACTCACGTTATTGGCGTCGTAGGGCTTCGACCTGAAGGCCATCCTTTTGGCTCCGGTCCCCGTCGAGGATGACGGGGTCGACAGGTTGTTACTATTGCTCCCGTCGCCGTTGTCCTTAGCCATGATTAGTCCTTCTTTTGCTGGCACCGCTTCTTCCTCTCTCCCACCGCAGCCTTCCTTCACTTTCTCTCTCCCTCGTCTCCCTCTCGCGCTATATCTCGCTCGGTCTCCTTCGCTTCTCTCGGACTTCTTCGCACCACGGAACACTTGGCGCTCGGGTTCGGCCTCGGCTTTTCAACGTCACTCTCTCTTTCTCTCTCTTCCTTCCTTCCGCTCGGCCCGAGTCTCCTAGGGCTTCGAGCACGGCTCGGACGCGCCACGAAGGTCAACGAAGCGCCGCTGCTGTACCACGGGCGATCCCCTTCATCCCATGTATAATATGGTCGGCTCCCGTTGGCTCGCGCGGGACGTCGTGAGTTTGGCCGCTTCGCGGCGCCCGTGGCTCTGCCTCCTTACTCCCCGAGAACGACGCGCGCGACTCGTTGGCTCGTGCTACTCGCCGTGGCTGGCTGTCGTCGATCGAGCCGCGCTCTCCAAGCTTTTGGCGCAATTCGCTCGCTACTTGCACACGCGCCCGCACCACACACGCGCACACACAGGCACACGTGCGCGCACACACACACACGCACAAAGTTCCTTCCTTTTTTAACGTGGCGCGTGCGGCGGCTGCTGCGGCGACTGCATCGGCAGCGGCAGCGGCAGCGTTGAACCGGAGACGGTGACAGAGAGTGTGATAGAATGCTAGATCGGGTGTGAGCGAGCGAACGAGCGAACGAGCGAACGAGCGAGCGTGTCTGGTTCTCTCTCTCTCTCTCTCTCTCTCTCTCTCTCTCTCTCTCTATCTCTCTCAATCTCTGTGACTGTGAGTGTGAGTGCGTGCGTGTAGTTGAGTGAGTACGAGCGAGAAGACGAGCGAGAGGGAGAGGCAAATAGACAGATAGACGGATAGTCAGGATGGTGCGCGCGCACCTCTACGGACCAATTCGCGAGATAAGCACTCGACGCGCACCAGGTGACCTCCTCGTGGCCGTTCTCACCTCGCGGAGCGTCGCTCTGGCAGCCTGACGAGCTCTCCCCTCCGCTCTCCCCGTATCGCGACCGAGAACGACTTGGATCCCTTTGGTTCGTCGCGCAGCGACGTTCCTTTGCTCGCGATATCGCGCGCGCGTGCCTTCCTCTCGTATCTCTCTCGCGGAACGACAGGGAGGCCGAGAGAGAGCGAGGGAAAGCCAATATGGCGGCGACGTGGTTCCTCGGCTCGCGGTGGCCAGTCTCGAGACACGGACTGCTCAGACCGGCCCCGGCCCCGCTCCGCCCCCCCCCCCCGAGCCTCGTATTACATCCGTAATATGACGTCAGAGGATCGTGGCTTCTCCACCTTCGGAGTAGCGAGCGCCCATTGCGACTGACGTCAAGTTACGTATGCCCGTCAGGCTAGCGTCATAAATTGCGTCGTGCATTCCGTCAGTGTCAACGTCACGGCATGCGTGACCGTTCTCTTCGTCGTCGGTCGCAGCCGTTCAAATTTTCAACGTTGACTTTACCGGCGCGATCGACTGGCTTCCGAAGCTTTTCCGCCCGCTACAATGCGACATTATAACTCGCTTTTACGAAAATTGGATATTAGCTCTATACTTTTTATTTATTTTTTTTCCCCTTTCATTCTTTCTTCTCTTCTTTTTTCTTGTTTTTATTCAACTCTCTCTCTCTCTCTCTCTCTCTCTCTCTCTCTCTCTCTCTCTCGCTTAGTATCGGTCTCAGTCTCTAATCTTCTTTCTTTGAGTGTCGGAGGAGCTTTTAACTTTTTGGAATAGACTTTCTTCTTAACTGTCCAATCAGTCGATTTATTTTTTCTCTCCAACATCTACTCACGTTTAGCTCAATTTCTTCGATAACTATTTTCTCCTTAATCAATCAATGCTCTCCGAAACAACAACTTTCTTTACTCTTATTTCCAATGTATTTTTATCCCCCTCCCCCTGTCTTTCTTTATAATTGCTATGGAATGTTCCATTCATTCATTCGTTTATCAATTTTTACTATTATTTTTACTATTATGTTCTGAGTCACTGCATCAATTAAAAATACATGAATATATGAATAAATTGTAAATCTCAGGAGAGGTCGTTAGTCGAAGAAAGAACATAAAAAAAAATCCAATTACGTATAAATAAACAAATAAATATGGGCATTTACAAACGCATATGTAGATAAAATTTGACCATAGGTTGGACGAAGAAGATAATGCTTAAATATCTCATATTATTATGATGAAATCTATTTTATCGATTTAGTTGCTTAACCCTCGCTCTACAATACAATGTTCTTTATATAAACTTTGAACATTCTCATTGGATACGTTAAAAATGCAGAAACCCGAAGCATATGGCTTTCTCTCATTCGATTTCGAAGTTATATTTAATATTGAGGGCTGAGTATTTCTTCATTTTATTTAAAAATAACTCGATCGAAATGTAAATTTAAACTATAGGCTTTCGAACCCCGACTTTCGCGGGTGTTAATTTATCGAAAAACGAATTAAATAAAAATCAAGTAGCATCATTGACCGATAATGGAGATTATTCGATGTTTATAATACGCAGCATCTAATGTAAATTGATAGTGGGTGGGAAGAAGGTGCCTGTGATTATGATAGTACGTGGAGTTATCATTTAAGCGTTTGGATTATCATGTGTGATATTTTGATGTTATCGGTGCATTGATTTCATTTCTTTAACCTCACATCCATTTATTCTATTGTCGCATTTATTAAATAAGTTTTCTTTTACTATCTCAGTCTCTAATGCAAATGGTTTTTGAAACTTTTGACTACGCGACGGCTAATTAGCTTGGCAATGTTAATACGAATTATCATGGATAAGCCATACCAACGACCCAATAATCAAGAATTAGTTTATTAGAATTATCTTAACAGATACGCTAATGTCTGGAAATTTACGTAGGCATTTGTAATGAAAATATAGCTGAAAATCGCGTTGGCTGCCGTTATTAAAGGAGTCACGCCGGCTCCAAGATAATCCAAGATAATAGTTTCAAAGTAAGATAGTAAAGATAAAGTAGGGAGATGAGACAGAAAGCTCGGATTTTTTATATATATATATATTTTTTTTTCATGGATATAATTGTCAGTTATATAATAGAAGCGCGTGCATAGTCGATTTACAGTGATAGAAAAATTATATTATGTGCGAGGATTGAGTAGTTGTCAATTTTATTTCAGGCATGAACGTCAAATGATCATTTATCTGGGCGCGAGTACGTCGCTCATCTCGAGATGCCAAATAATTTAAGATTGTAAGAAAAATTTAATCGGTGATTTCGTTATAAATCAAACATCTGTTATTTTATACAGTGGCTGCGTTACTCTTAGAAAGTACTTTCTAGAATTTGCGAAGAATGTAAGAAGAAAATTGTAATTTTGATATTAAAAAAAAAAAAAAAAAAAAAAAACGAGTTTCCCATTTAATTTTTTATCTACATCGTTGTTATTTTTATATTGTTTTGTTGTTGTTGTTGTTGTTGTTGTTACAATTTCTATTTGAACAAATACGTATATACATAAATACGTATGTATGTATATATGTATATATATATATATATATATATATATATATATATATATATTACCATTAATTGCATAAGATTGCCTACATTTTTCTGGATTCCGATACCTTATCGATTGCATTAATACCAATTTCTTATAGCGTACTGTCTTTCCTTTTATATTGATATTTCATTAAAATGTAAAAGTTCATCTGAATTTGTAAGGAATTTTAAGAACATTTGACAAAAAGAAACTCGAATAAAATGTATCGAATAATGGGATAAAATTTTAAAGATAAATTAAAATACTGAATGTTAACAATGTGGGCGAAGAATTTTAAGCTGCACGAAGAAACAATCTTTACAACAAAGAAACATGTAATTTACAACTTATTATAATAATTAGAAATTAGTGTATTATTGAGAGGACGAGGTACTACAACGCAATTAAGTAGAGTAAATTAAAAGAGACATCGGTAGAATTTTGAATAATATAACATAAACACATAGTCCGCCAACATGCTGTACATATTTCTCATTTTAGTTATTTTAGTAGCTAATCGAGTGACGAGGATTAACGATCATCTCCTTCACGAGAATTGACTACACTGAAAATTCACAATCAGCTTGATAACATGGACCATAAAAATATTTTATCACAGCTAACCTACCTTCTTAAGTTCTTAATTATTTGCGTCTTAATTAATGGCACTTTAATAATCTTTTATCTTATATAATTTTATCTTATAAGTATAATGTTCATTAAAAACCAACGCTTGCTGGCCCATCCTGCATTATTTCCGCTACATGAAATATGTAGTTGATAATTGGCTGATAATTAGTAGATCGAACTCGAAAATACACTTCATTGTCCATTGGAAAATGTTTATTGCCACAAAACCGTCAAATTTATGCTAAAAAAAAAAAAAAATTATTTGTTAGACAATGCTTGTGAATCATAATAATTCTCATTTTATTTTAATCTCGACAAATACATGACTTTTTTTTTTTTTTTTTTTTTTTTTTTTTTTAATTTTTTTTTTTTTTTTTTTTTTTTTTTTACCTTCTAACCATATACACTTTATCTGTAGTTTAGTTGTACTAAATGTTCGGCTGTTTTATGATTTTACCATTAAAAGCCGAGTAATAAATCAGCAAGAGATTGTTTCGGTCAGGTTTAGGACGTTAAGAATTAGGTTTAGAGCGCTAAGAATTCTCCTTGGAGCCCAATGCAGACAGAACCCACACGTTGAGAAAATGCTTAAAAAAGGAGACGAGAACATCCGTGGAGGCGATGAACGAGTCTGGGTAAAGAAGACTCCAAACACGATGAACTGTTTTATAATTATCAGCCTGTTTCTTCAATTGCTGAAATTTACTGTTTCATTGAGCGTGAAGTTTGTTGGAAATTGTTTTACAATTTTATTCCAATGCTTACGAGCCTTTAATTCGAATTGGGATGTCTTTGGATTTTCATTGAAATTTGAAAATCCTTCCTTTATTCATATTTTAACACACGTTTTAATATACATGTAGTATAAAAAAAAAAAAAAAAAAAAAAAAAAAAAAAAAATTATCAATATTAATTATCAGTTTACGTACATAAGAGGGTTAATATACAATAAGCTTCTTTAATCATCGTGTCATTAATGAAAATAAGAACGAATAAATCAATATAAATTTCTAGCCATAATCTAATGCTTTATTTGAATTTAAAATGAGCTTCGCATTCTAACTGGCCGTTGATCTGACGACGGTGATCATGATATTACGATTTTATCGACGTGATTTAGGCTATGAGCTGTGAATTTCGAGGCTCCACCCATAATTACGCGATTGATAGTGTGTTGCTGAGTGAGAAGGAGAGCAATCTCAAATGAGCTATAATTACATTGCTTGATAGATGAGTATAGATGATATATGTATTTTTGATTACTTTTTATACGTCTGTTAATCGTATAATAGAATCCTTTTAGACACAATAAACGC